TGTAAAAATTTTACATACTACATGTGTCTCAAAGTCAGCATGTGGGTGGGAAGAGTTAGTCAGACATGGCTCTTCTATCCCATTTCAGTGTTTGCTCTGGATCTAATGTTTCTCTCACACACACACATGCTCACTCACTTGTATATACCTTTATTCCTCTCAACATGAAATATGTTAATAAAGCAAGTCCAACTAATCAGTACTTTGGGCTGTGCAAATAAACTATCTTTTTAGTATTTCTTTACTAAAATCCACAATTAATTTGAAATGTATTGGGTACACAACTGTGTTACTAAGAAGCGTACTTCTTGAAAAATGATTGTGACTTTTCTATAATTTCCAAATTTAAAAAATAAACCTGCAGATCACAATGAGATACCACTTCACACCCACTAGCTGGCTATAATAAAAAAGACAACAGTAGGTTTTGAAGAGGATGTGAGAAATCAGATCTCTCATACACTGCTGGTGGGGATGCAAAGCGGCATAGCCACCTTGGAAAACAGTCCGATAGACCCTCAAAAAGTTAAATATGGAGTTATTCTATGACTCAGCAATTCTACTCCTAGGTATATAATGAGGATAATTAAAAACATATATCTACAAAAAGCTTGTACTCGAATGCGTACACCAGCATTATTCATAACAGCCATGAAGTGGAAACAACCCAAATGTCCCTTAGCCAAGGACTGGATCAATGAAATGTGGTATGGATCAACACAAAGGATTGTTATTCAGCAGTGACAGGAATGAAGTACTGATATGAGAATGTATCTGGTGGGTCCATCAATGAACCGTGAAAACATTATCCTAAGTGAAAGAAGCCAGAAATCAAAGGCCACATATTGTAAGACTCCATTAACATGAAATTTCCAGAACAGGCAAATCTATAGAGACAAAAGGTAGATTAGTGGTTGCTTGGGGTTGAGGGAAATGGGCAGTGAGTGACTGCTAATGGGTACAGTGTTTCCTTTTGAGGTGATCAAGATGTTCTAGAATTAGATAGTGGTGATAGTTGTAGAACATGGTGAATATGTTAAAAACCACTAAATTGTTCACTTTAATAGAGTGAATTTTATAATATGGGAATGTCTCAATTAAAAAAATGAAACTGAGATATATATGTATATATACACATATATAATTCAAACATTACAGACATAGAAATGAAACTTTCCCTATATTCTCTCTCCCCAATTTTACTTCCAAATTTCTCTTATTTTCTACATTGATTTTATTATTTATATGTATATTTATGAAACAAACTAGGATCTTGTCATGCATACTGTTTGTGACTTTTTTCACTTAATGTGACTTGTTCATTTTTTCCATCATTGGAAAAAGAAAAATTCCCATGCTGACTTCTTCAGGAATATGGCAAACCCAGAAATCATTAAAAAAAAAAAAAGAAAGACTTATACCTTGGCTACATAAAACTTAAAATTTTCTATAGGGGAAAAAAAATACTCTAAACAAATAAACTAGGAGAAAATATAGGCAACATTTATGAGAGAGGGTTAATATTCCTAATATTAGGGATTAAGGTTCTTACAAATTGATTTAAACAACACAAAAGTAAAATGGGCAAAGATGTAAATTGGCAATTCACAGGAAGGGAAATATAAATGACATCGTAGATGTCAATCTCATCAGTAGTCACAATTTTTTGCCCACCAAATTGGCAAAATTTAAAAAGACCGGTGACAACTAGTACTGGCAAGAATAGGGAGAAACGAACACTCCTAAATTACTGAAGTATATGTGAATTGCTACATCTTTTGGCAAGGTTATTAGTAATATTTAATAAACAGGCACAACATTTAACACACCTAGGGGACTCTAACCCACAAAAATAAAAGCACCATAACTAACAATATTTTCTCAAAAATGTTTATTATAGCAAGGTTTATAAGAGGGAAAAAACTGGAAACAACTGGAATATCTGTTGATAGGTGAGAGCTGAATAAATTGTGATTTATGAGAACCATGGTTATTAAAGATGCACGTGTTAGTCCTATGTGATAGTCCTAGAGGCATGTACACAGTATATAGCTACGTGAAAAAAAAGAAGTTGCTGAGTAATTATACAGTATGATATCGTGAAAATAAAACCCAACCCCCTAGAGATGTAAATATATATTTGTATGTTGTTGTAGGCACACAGAAAATCTGTTAAATTTGCTTTGTTTGGGCTGGATATGCTGTGTTCTAGTATTTAAGATAAAGAAAGTAATTTTAAAAAGCTTATTATTAATAAAGGACAACATTGTGCTAATTTAAGCTTTTTCAAAGCTAGGGAACAGTTAAAAAGGATGGGAGAGGTCAATGTTTATGAGATGGAAGAGCTACCCAACATGGTATAACTAGAATATCTTATAGAATATAAGGTATGCTACCACTTCTCTTTTGATCTAACTTTGCGGCTCTGTACAGGTAGAGGAAGAGAGAGATGGGAAGGAGCATCTCAAGTATTAGACTGGTGGCTAACTGGGGGGTAGGAGCCCCTTTTTTGATTTCTGACTCTGGTGTCTCCTTGGGGTTCATTTGGAAGAGAAGGCACCTAGACCTCATATGAGAGCAGACTGGGGCAGGCTCAGCCCAAGAGATGCTGGCTTCTGGATCAGTTCAGGAAAACAAGTTATGACTCTGGTGGGTAAGGATTTGTCTTCAGTGTTATTACCAGGGTCAAAGTAACTCCTGAAAGCAAGTCATCTCCAAGAGCAACAGTCATGCTAAGTCCCTGAGGCAGTTCTTGGAAAATCTAACCTCCCCTACTCCAGGAAAACTAAAATGTCAAGTTGGGGAAAACCTTAACTGTATTATAACTATCCTGTCCAAAATGTACTACCAAGAGATACTACCAATTGGTCTGTAACTGTGATTCCCAAAATGACATAGATCTTGGTAAATGTCTCTTCTTTCACTGTTTAAGAATGGAAAGATTCTTTTTATCAAAAAGTAAACATAAAAGTATTTTTAAAAGCCGGAGTATTTTTCAAGGAAGGGAGACTAGTCCTGCTCATGACTATTTTACAGGTTGAATGAGTCCTCCTTTTAATTGAGTTGCTATTTTCAGTTCTAAGGTAGACAACTAATACGGCCTGAACACAGAAAACACATGTGCTCGTGTTGGTGGCACTGAGTTCCAAGAAATGACTTTAAGCTCTTTTGGGATACTGATGGGGCAAAAGGCGATTTATTTGAAATGAACAGTTCCTTGGACACATGCAGATATCATAGAAACACAATCCCTTGAGCTGAATGGCGGGGCTCCTTGAAGGGAGGGACAAAAAAACAGAGACTTAGAAGCATTGGTCCTCTTCTCCCTACACCAGTCTTGGCAAGACAAATGGTCATGCAGGTGAACTGGACACAGTGACCAGCCTCTGCATCAGGCACGCTTATTAACAGCTTCAGGGATAAAAAGAAAACCTCACAGAAGTTGCAGTCAGGGGCCAAGAAAGGGTGAGGAGACTTCACCGTTCTCATGAAACTTCAGTCTTCTCGAGGCCAGGGACACAGATGTGAGTCTGGCTTGGGGCCTGGGGCACACCCCTCCATCCCAACCTAAAGAGATATGCCGCATTTGAATGGCAGTAGTTCTCATTCAAACTGCCTTTACAATTTCTTTTAGTTCAATTAAACCCTTTCAGTGTTTTTCTCTTTCTCCATTTCTACCAGGCAGTGACAGAAGAGCAGGGACCAGGCAAAGAGAAGGAAGTGACCCAGGGCACTTCTGCAGCTGGCACAGGGGGCTTTGGAATCTACTTTCAAAACATGCTGGATAAAACCTCATGTGCTTCTTGCCAGTCTCGCCGAGGCTGAATAAACCGCACGTGGCTCTGTGAAAAGCCACCTCAGCTGTGTGGCATTTCTGCTGTCTGGCTGGGTTAGCATCCTCTGCCTTACAGAGGCAGGGCCGAGGGCACCGGCCTGAGGGCAAGCACGCTTCGGTCCTGCCTGTGTTTTTCGGTTACAGAGCTCTGAGGAGGGACCGGTCACTGTGTTTGCTCACTCTCGCTCCTGACGCAGGTCTGAGACCCAGGGGCAGTCTCAGGTTGGCTCCTTGTCAGTCAGCAGGACAGTGAGCGAGTGCCAGGCCATGATGCAGACCCCCTCAGGTCTCTCTAGGGGGCGCTCATGTTACTGGGGAAGTGGGGACGGTGGGGCCACCTCTTTTCTCCCCGTGGTCACGCGAGTCTTGCTCATCATGTGGTTGGCACTGCCTCGCTCCCTCTCCTAGCAATGCTAAGACATGGATGGAGCCTTTGGAGATTTTTATCTAGAAAGCACCTCGCTTTCAGGGTGAACAAAACTGCTACTCTATCCTCCTCCTCCTGCAAATGAGTTATCATTTGTGGGAGCTCAGGAAATGATGCATTCTACAGTTATACGTGGCTGACCAGGGTGCTTCCGTGTGGGGTGACCCTGGGACCAAGACAGATGGTGAGCATCCCATCATCTGCATCATCATGGACATGGATGGCCCCGGGGTCCTCTGTTGACAAGGAAAACTTAAAAGGTGCTGGGAAAACACCTGTTTTGTGTTGACCTATCTAGTTTCTTTTTTTTTTTTTTTTGTCTTTTTTTTTGTGACCGGTTGCACTGTGCTCAGCCAGTGAGCGCACTGGCCATCCCTATATAGGATCCGAACCTGCGGCGGGAGCACTGCTGCGCTCCCAGCACCCCACTCTCCCGAGTGTGCCACGGGGTTGGCCTGACCTATCTAGTTTCAATCAGTCAGTTTTGAGAGTCTACATTTTCCTTCATAATGAAGGGGTGAAGAGCAAGAATGGGGTGATGATCGTGGCAGCTTTTCAGAGCAGAGGGAGGACAGAGGAGAACAGGAGGAGGAAGGGGAAACTCTGAAGGACCCGAGCGCACTCTGACGCGTTAGGCTTGTTTTATTCACTAAGCAGCTTGCCTCTGCTTGTTGAGTACTGAAATCTAGCTCAAATATCAAGTGCCTTCTAGAATAAAAGTGGTTAAGTTGGAGTTACCCTGTAGCATCCTGCCTCCATGGCTGAGGGAGGCAGTCCCTTTTCTGTTACCTTCAATCTCAGCAAATAAAAACCATCTGGGAGTGGTGGTGGGAGGTCAGGCAAAAGTCCAGATAAAGGACTAAGAGAGTGGGTCACATGCTTGAATTGATGTTGGTTCCCTACCTCCTGGCCCCTGTCCTGCACAGGACACGACTCACTGTCTGCTTCCGAGAACGATCCGGATTCGTCGCTGGAGTTGGTTCCGTAAGACTGCTCACATTTAATTTGGGGTCGGACTTGGTTGTACATTCCATCTCCCATCAGGCCTGGTTCCTGATGTTCTGTGGCAAGGAATCTGGCTCCCTGGGAACAGGGTGAGGAGGAAAACTCACAGAGAGGGAGGCTGCAGGGCGAGCCCCCACTCCCATCCTCGGCGTAGGAATAGGAGGAGCAAGAGCTGGAAGTCCTGGTCCTGGTCTCCAAAGGGGGCGAGCGGGGGCAGACTTTGATTGGCACCGGGCAGCTGGTGTTGGGCCGCATCCTTCCTGGCAAGTGGTCAGCCATCAGCCCGCTGTGGGAGTAGGCCTGTGAGCTGGGGAGGGACTGGCCAGCTCCCACCCACAGACCCTTTGGCCCTGGCTCAGAGAGGTCTTTGTCCAAACTGCTTACCCCAGAATAAGAATGCACCGAAGTGTTCACTTGGTCACAAGCGCTCGAGGAGAAGATCACACTCCTCCGGTCCAGTTCTCCCTCCTGTTTACAGAGAGCCTCCAACCCAGGCCCCCTGAGGGGCGACCCCATCGTGAAGTTGGACATGTCCTTCTGGCCCACGTGGGGCTGTCCATAATTCCCTGTGAAAGGGGTGTAGTCAGTTTTAAGGTCACCCTGAGTGATCCCCTTGTCGAAAGGGCATGCTGAACTCCTGGCAAAGTGCTGCTGAGATGTACTGGGCAGGCCAGACAGCTCCACACTTTTTGTTATACTGAATAGAGACCTTAAACAGGAGGGCGAGGCCACGCTCCTGGATCTGTCCAGGCAGGCAGCCCCCGCAGGGGCGGTGGGCGTGGGCGCGGGGCCGGGGCTGGGCTGTTTGCGGTCCATCTCGACGTCCCCCACTCTGTCCTTGACATCAGGCTCATCTCCGGATAGGCAGAGCGTGATGCTCTCTTCCTCGTTCTCTTCACTGGGCGGCTCACTTTTAATCTGCCCCACGGCAAGCCCCGGCTTGAGGCTGCTGCCAGAGTTATCTTCACTGAATGTGCTTGCAAAACCTGAGGTACTGTGCGATGATGCATTATAGACATTCTTGGTACATGCAAGCTGGTATTTCTTGTATCTGGGGTACTGCATTAACGCGTCCTTCTCTGAGCTCTCCTTGGTGTCGGGCGGCACGTCCGACTCAGGCAGCAAGGCTTCTTCCTTCTCTGCTACTGGGATGGCAGTGGCCTCAAAGCTGATGGCGTCTGGCAGCATCTGGTCCCGGGGACAGGCCAGCTTGGCCGTCTCCGAATCCATGGTCTCCTCCTCTTCCTCCTCCTCCTCTCCCGCGGAGTTCTCCCGGTCCTCGTGCGGGCGCTGGCACGCAGCATCCTTCCGGCACACGAACAGGCCATCCTCGCTGTTCAGGAGCTGGGTCTGCAGGAAGCTGAAGCAGGAGTCCTCCAGGTTGTGCATGCGCAGGAACTCGGCACAGCGGATGACCTCGCGGATGTTTTCTCTGCTGAGTAACAGCTTGGCAGTGTAAGCAAACTGTAACAGCGGCCCAAAGCCCCTGGCCGTGACCTGCAAAACAAACAGGGAAATTGCCAGCATTACCATCAGCACCGCTATTGTCCCGAATCCCTCAACTGAAGCAAGATAACCAGACAGTGCTAATGTCCCAGAATAAAGACTGCAAAGGAGCAGTTAATCTCATACTGGGTCAGCAATGATTCTGCTTCCAATAATTAGTGCCTGTCTCGAGCATGCCACTGCTGTAGTTCATCACGCCACTAGCAGAATTGAAAATCACCAGGGTCAAGTGGCTAAACAAGATGACAACGGGTTCAGTGTTTACACTAATGAAATATCCTGGCAAAAATACACAGTAACAATGGGAAGCCTATTAATTTCCCTCCCAACTGGTCCTGTTGAGAGCCATTCTCCAAGAGGAGGGAGTGCTGTGACACTTCTTGCAGCTCACTGGAGCCAAAGAAAGCATTACCGTTTTCTTGTCAACCACGGAACTGGCAATTGGCCCTTTTAAAAACTCAAGATCTACAGGGCTTCAAAAAGTTTCTCCTCATTTACAATGTTAAAAGAGACATTTAAAACAAGTCTTGTTTTGCTCATACATCGTATCGTGGTTTCTACTGGAGACTTTCAGTCACCAGGTCGTAGCTGATCTTATAATGATACCAGAATGACGACAATCAAAAAGCAATGTTCTCAATAAGAAATTAATTCCCAGCCCATAAAGAATGGAGGTTACAGAGCTAAACAAACCACTGTCATTTAAATGGTTGAAGCTGCTGAGTGACACAGAACACGGGCTAGTCCTTCCCTAATTATCAGCAGCAGCTTTGCCACGCAGCTGTCTTCTTTCCTGGTAAATCTTCAGGGGCTAAGCGTACTGTCATTTGCAGCTTACCCATTACATTTCACACAGATTGAAAATGTGCTATTTATGCACAGCTTGCACACACACACAAAAACACGCGTGTTCACGCATACATACACATGTGCAATGACTTAGACGATTAAGAATATGCTGCCTAAGGGCAATTGTTTTTTCCAGATGGGAATGAATTAAACTTGCTGCTGCTCAGGGTAGGCTTCTTTACCCTGTGTGTAAAACCACACATCCTCTAGCTTTTTGCAAGCACTGCCGACCCCACAGGAAGGGGAGGCCAGCATACAAATCATGGATACAAATCAAATGAAAGCAGCAACTATGGGGTCCTTGCTGGAAGCTGTGGTAGCAGTGGTCACAACTTTCTGCTGGGGGAATGAGTGCAGAACGATATGAACTGGCAAGCTTTGTAGCTGACTTCTGTGTGCTTTAAATTCACTGCAGGGAATGAATATCCTCAACACAAAGAAATGATTACGTTTTGTAATGATGAATGTGCTAATTGTCCTGACTTGATCATCACACATTGTACACAGGTATTGATATTCAACTCTGTACCTAACAAATATGTATAATTACTTACATTTCAGTTAACAACAACAGCAACAACAACAACGAAAAACCCCTCAAAAAACTCACTGCAGCACACAGAGACAAAACTTTTGCAAGGGCCTGTATCTGTTGTTCAAGATTCCACTTGGACATTAACTCCTCTGGGAGCCCTCGCCAATCCTTGGAGAAAGCAAATGATACCGTTCCCTCGGCTCCCACTGAAGAGTGAGGAAACAACCCGGATTCTCTAGAGCAGCGCTGCTTTTATGTCACTGCATTCTTTCCAGTAAAGACAATTTCTTAGACACGTAACAGAATGGGATTTTAGTTGTTAATATTTTTGAAGTGCTTAAATAAAATCCCAAATTAAAAACACTAACTTTCAGATAATAAGTCCAGAGATATTTGGTTAAAAAACAAAACAAACAAAAAACCATGACTGCTAGACCCACATAATAGTTCTAAATGGGCAACCACTACTGTCTCCCTCTTATAATACATACTTGTATCTGTTTCTGCCATAAGACAGCAAGCTCCTTCAGATCAGGGATGGTTTGCTTTCCCTTTGTAACCCTGCATCTAACCTAACCCAGAGTCTCTAACATGGTAAATACATGATAAAAGTGTGCATGTTACTGAATGTATCATAAGTCTAATTGTGCCCATAACACACAACTACCATGTCAGAAGGTGACAACTGGTGGGTGTTGTCTCAAGTTACTTTTGGAGCAAGGCATTATGTAAACTGTAATGGGTTGTATGTCACCCCAAACTCACTGAAGCTTGAATTGCGTCCCCCAAGTTTTATGTATTAGAGACCTGGCCCCACTGTGACTGTTACAAGGGTGGGAAATCCTATTATGGTAATTGAAAGGTGGGGCCTTGAAGAGGCAATTAGATTGTAGGACCATGCCTTAGTGAATGGATTAAAAATGGTGGTTGGGGGTGTGGTTCTGAGGGCTTTAAAAGGAGAGAGAATGATGAGGTTAGTCTTTCTGTCTGCTCTGCCATTTCACAATGTATACCCTGCATCACTGAAGTCACCACCAAAGAAAGCTTTCACCAGATGTGTTCCCTGGACTTTGGACTTCTTAGCCTTTGAAGCTGTAAGCAATAAATTTTGTTTTCTTCATAAAATACCCAGTTCCATGTATTTTGTTATAAGTAACAGAAATGGACTAATACATAAACCAACCAAACCAAACCAATCAACCGATCAAAGGCAGGCAGGAGTCCTTATGTGTCCTGTCCCACAGCACCAGTATTAAAAAGGAGCTCATCTGACCTACACATTTGAGTCCTACTAAGCTGACATGGTAATAGGTTCAGCAAATGTAGCACCTACTATATCCATTTGATGTACTTTCCTCCCAGGAACCTTTATTTATTTATTTTATAATCGTCTTTATTTACTTCATTCAAATTTAATCAATCCCACCACAGAGCCCAGAAGCAGAATCCAGCACTGTCAGTCCCCCTGTCTCTGCCTCCCCTCCCCTCTGGGTATCCTTCTCCAGTTATTTATTTTTTTTAATTGAAATATAATTGATTATACATATTTGTGGGGCCCAGAGTTGACCATCAGCATTTGTGTACAATATGTGATGATCCAATCAGGATAGTTGGCATATTCGTTGTTATAAAATACACTCATTCTTTGTGTCCACTAACCAATTTCTCCCCCACCGTCCTCCTCCTCCCCCTTCCCCCAATAACAACAGTTCTGTTCTCTCCTTCTGAAAGTTCAACATATCTTGTGTTTCTTCCTTCCTTCCTTCCTTCCTTCCTTCCTTCCTTCCTTCCTTCCTTCCTTCCTTCCTTCCTTTCCTTTCCTTTCCTTTTTAGCTCCCACTTATGAATGAGAACATGTGCTATTTCTCTTTCTGTGTCTAGTTTCCCGTTATTAAATAGACAGGATACCTGTTCCATAATTTAACACAGACAATGACTAGACAGCACCCTGTTATCAGGGTTTTAGTTCAAAACTTAACTACAGATTTACCAAAGAGCCAAAGAAACCTCAAGTCAGTCCTCCCTCACCAATTCGATATGGGAGCCTCCTCCACAGCCTTGACATACTCACCAAGGAGGCCAAGGAGTAAGGTCTCCACATCACAAATCAATGGCGCTCCTAGATCACTGATCCTCCGGGCTTAGGGAACATGATGAGCTTGAAATGATCGTCATATAGTCAAGGAAGAATCACAAATAAAAAAATTGGTTTGTAAACTGTCATTCAGGCCCAACAGCAGAAGAAATGGTGTCTTCACCATAAAATTTCAAGAGCCCATAACTAGCTCTTCCACCTTAGTTAAAATTCTACTGTGTCATATTCAGTTCTGCAAAATTTTGCTCAGCTTCTAGTGCAAGGCTTTGTCTAGTGAGTCAGAATTACCATTTACCAAGCATCTCCTAGTGCCCGGCACCCTGTTAGCTGGCTCTTATAATACCCTACAAGGCAGCCATGATTGTCTCTATTTTGTAGATAACAAAACTGAAAAGCAGGGAGCTGAAGGAATTTATCTAAGGTCACAGAACTAGCAGATGGAGAGCTGGGATTCCAACCTAAGTGCAACCCAATTCTTCCTCCTGTGCCAAGTGCTGTGAGCAATGGATAAATTACAAGATTCAGCCTTTTGCTCAGGAGACCTGCACTTTTGCTTTGTGGAAGAGGCACAAATGGTGAAAAGCTAATGACTAAGTAACAATGTAAGTAATTCAGCACTGGAAGTGCTATCACAAGATTATATGTCTAGTCAACTGAGAAATCCAGACAAGTTCAGGAGAGGAGACTACTGAGGCCTGCAGAAGTCCCCCAAACACTCGTACCAGGACCCCTGGAGTGCCGTGAATACCTGCTGTCTATGTCTGTTCTAGGTCAAGGGCACTTTGACACAATGGCTATCTTCTGAACTGCCACATGGGTTCCTCCCGGGAGTCCATCTCTCATGCACTTCAGGAAGTAGTAATCATCCAAATACACTAAACAGAGTAAGTGCCATCACACCTGCCGGCCAGTGTTTAAATAGGGAAAAGCTTTCTAAATATTGGTTTAGCCTCTATCTTAAGAAGACTGAACTATCTGTCCACTTTTGGGAACCACTTAAACTCACTCATTGTATTCAGAGGGCAAATATCCAGGTACCAATATGAAGCTTTATGTTCATGAAACTGTGACCAAAAGGCTGCATTGTTACTTAATTTTTGTTCATAACAAGTGAGGCTCTGACAATGGGAAAGAACAAGAGGGAGTGGAAGGTACAGAATCACATACAAAACTAATCAACCAGCCAAATGGTATTTAAAAAACCAACAACCAAAAAGTTCGCGTGGACTGAAGTGACTAGAAATAGCAAAGCAGTTCCATTTCACTGCTGTTAATGGAGCTGTGTCCCACTGTTCTAAGGAGAGCAGACACATCTAGGCAAAAATCCACTGGTCAGGAAGGGCTTAAAGATATAAAAAACAGTTGCAAAATACTTTATTAGGGACAACCTGGGTAACAGTCTTGCATTTAGAATGAAATATTTCAGAGGAGTCATTGTGAAAATTATTTTTTCGTCATACTTAAATATGGTCCCATAATTTATTCATTGCACTATAGATGAGATTGGATCAC